GGGGAGAGCTGGGCTGAGGCCCAACAGGCTCATTACAGGAGTGAAATGACAACCCCCACACCCAACTTGCCAAAACCAACAAGCAAATACTTGTCATCTCAGCCCAAGTGCATTGCCAGCCCAGCAGCCTTCCCCTGCGAGGACAATCCCAGGGAGCTTGGGGCAGACAAGGGAGTGACCCCAACACCCACCTGCAGTCACGCCAATAACCCTGGGACCATTTCTCGGGGTGGGAGGGCAGGCAGTGTTCCAGGAAGCCTCTCTTCCCGCAGAGGCTCTCCATTTCAAGGACTTCCCCCAGGCATGGGGGGGTCCTGTCCCCTGACTCAACTCCCAGGGGCTCCTCATGAATCCAGCTTCACAGTGTCCCCACTGCAAGACACAGGTTCCAAAGGGAAGCACCGTCACAAATGCAGGGGTGGAGGCAGGCCTGAAGCAGCCCCCCAATCTCCTGTAACCCGTTAGCACTGTCCACATTTGGGTTAAAAGCAGCCTAAGCTCCTGGAGTGAGGAATAACAAAATATTGTCCACAGCTCTAGCATGTGACTGTGGTTACCGAGGCAGAAATGGGTAGGAATTGTGGTGTTTCGCCCAGCCAGGAGATTTTCTTTATTCGCACATGCCCCCTCCACCCACAAGCAACATCCATGGGAGCTCTGAGGCACCCTTGGGGACAGATACTGGTTCAGCCCCTTCAGGGCAGAGGGGGCAGCAGAAGGTGCAGCTTTTCCAGCACTTTCCCCACCCCACCATGGAGCAGCACCTAAAAGCACAGCTGACAGCAAGAAATGCCCACCCATCCCGTCCCACAAAAAGAGAGACCCCAGATCAGCCAGGCTGGGCACTAAAGATGTCCCTAACCTGCAACCTCCCCCCAGTCCCATTAGACACAGCAGCCGCTTGAATTCCACACCCAAATCCACTCCCCTGGCCCCTCTTCTTATTTTGGTTCAGAGAAGCCAAAGCCAGGTTCTGAGAAAAGCCCTGGCAGGGGCGGAAGAGGCAGCCCTGGGGTTATCAGCAGCGAGCCGGGGGTTATCGGGCCGAGCGTTATCGCTATCGAGCGCTGCGGCTTCCAGGAAGCATCAGAAGCCCCTGCCAGCACCTTTGCATATTTCCATGGCAAAGGCCCAGCTTTGCATGAGGGCCCCACCACACACCCAGGGGACTGAACAGGCCCAAAATAGCCCCCAGAGACACAACATTAAAAAAAAAAAACAACATCAAAAAAAATCAACAAAAATCCCCACCAAAAAAAAAACCCAACATTTTGCAGTATCTGCACAGAGCTTTGCCTCCAGCTTGTTTTCAATAGCAAGGGCCTTGCCAGCACTGCAGGAAGCCATCAGCCTGCCTTGTTGGCTGTGAGGCCCGACAGCCCAAGAGGCCAGAGCACCCACAGTTTTGGGGGCAGGGAAATGCTTTGCCTCTCCAGAGGGGCATTTTCCAGCCAAGGCTCCCACATCCGGTCCTGGCAGGAGGAAGCTGTTCATCAAACCGCTGCCCAAGTGAGCTCTGTGCTCTCTAGCCCCAAGCAGGCTGCACACTTCCTCCATCCTCAGCCTGCAGGAATCGAAACTGGGGGGGGGGGGGGG